GAAACAAGTGTGAAAACTGTTACGCACTCAGCACTAATGTGAGTCAGTATAGTCTAGTTTTTTAAGCAGCTTTTGTGTATTTTACCTCAACAAATGATGATGTTTTTCTCACTTTACTGTTGGCAGGGATCAGATTTGTCAAAAATAGACACACCTGGGACATTTCTTGTATAAAACTGGGACAAATCACTGTTTTTTGTATAAATCCGTTGGGACAGGAGACGCAGGACTCATCATTTGTGCTGTGGGTGACGTCCACTTCTACATACAGTCTATGGTTTTGACACTTTTTACACGTGCACTGTGTAACTTTTATTCTGGTCAAGGGTCTGTCACGTGAGTTTTCTTCATGGAGAGATGTCGTTGCTTTGTCTGGAATGTTTCACAGTACGACTTTAAACCTCTCTATCGTCATGGAGACCAAACCAGACCAGGTGGTACAAACATGCATGTAATTGTTTTTGATCGTCTTGTTGAATTTTTTTGTTCATCTTCTTGTATTTTGTGACAATATTTGAACTCTGTCTTAGTTTTTGGTGAAGTTTTATCATGTGTGAGCGAGTGTGTGTGTGTGTGTATGGTTGTGTTTTTTTGTTGTTGTATTTTGTCGTTTTGTTTTTTCTGTTTATTTTATTCTCACTGTGTCCGTCTTCTGTTGTTGTGACTGTGAGGATCTAGGGCTGAATGACTTTAAGAAAAAATTGAATTGCGATTTTTCTGGCAGATATCGCAATTTCAATTTCATCAACGTTTTTTTTTTTTTTTTCAAATCAAGTTTCAGTGCACATGAACATTCGCAAACATCACAGAAACTTACATCACACCAGACTCCTGCACTGACGATTTGACTCTGGACGGTTTGCGCACGTTTGTTTACGTTTTACAGAAATAAAACTTAAAACAGCTCGCTCCTTGTGCGCTGATGTGGTTCAGCTTCTGTCGGACTAAAGGACACAGTGACTCAGTGGAATATGAGTGTTGTTTCTGTGACAGAGGGGTGTTCTGCTGATGGTGAGTCTGTTCTGTGTTTCTGTCACGATGGAGATGGTTCATGTTAAACTTTACACGAACGCCAGGTTTAAACCCTCGCCTTCTCGCATTGTGGCGGTGAATTACTTCGCGGCGCATAGATCTCGACGCAGACCCATAAATCAAAAACGATGGTGGCATTGTGCGCTGAGTCGACGCAAAACTAAACTTCGCCTTTAAAATTGGACTTTACGGGCACTGCAAAAAAACACACGGTTTTGACGCTCCCAAAACGTTGTTGTCCAAGATCGCGATTTTCTGTCCAAAACGACAGATCGTTCAGCCCTATGAGGATCCCCTCGAAAACAAGATAAAGAGACATCTCAAGGGGCTTATCCTCCTATTTAATTTAAGGTACAGGTCAGATCTGTGGAGAGGCGATGCCGCTTACAGTGATAATGCAAGCTTTTCTAGGTATTTTTGTGTTATAAAAGCACCTGTAACAGAATAAATGTAAAATAGACCTCGAAGCAGACCCACAAATCAAAAACGACAGTGACAAGGCGACGGCGGCAGTGCGCGATGAGTCCACACAGATCTAAACTTCGTCTTTTTATCGGGCTTTAGGAAAACTGCAAAAAAAAAAAAAACGCAGCTTTGACGCTCCCAAAACTGTGTTGTCTGGGATCACGATTTTCGGTCTAAAACGATAGATCGTTCAGATCTGTGAGGATCCCCTTGATAAACAAAATGAAAAAACATCTCAATGGGCTTATCCTCGAAACAAATACATTTAAATTTAAGTTACAGGTCAGATTTGTGGAGAGGCGACACCACTCACAGTCATAATGCATGTTTTTGTAGCTATTTTTGAGCTGTAAAAGCACCTGTAACTGAATAAATGTAAAATAGACCTCAACGCAGACCCATAAATCAAAAACGATGGAGGCAGTGTGCGTTGACTCGACACAGAACTAAATTTCGCCTTTAAAATTGGACTTTAGGAGCACTGCAAAAAAACACGGCTTTGACGCTCCCAGAATTGTGTTGTCCGAGATCGCGATTTTCAGTCTAAAACGACGGAGCGTTCAGCCCTATGAGGATCCCCTTGAAAAACGAGATGAAAACACATCTCAAGAGGCTTATCCTCCAAACAATTAAACATTTAAAACATGTTTAACATTTAAATTTAAGTTACAGGTCAGATCACAGTCATAATGCATGTTTTTTTTTAGCTGTTTTTGAGCTATAAAACCTCCTGTAACTGAATAAATGTAAAGTAGAGCTGTATAAAGTCATACTGAGGAACATTCCGGACAGAGCGATGACGTCTCCATAGAAACAATCAGGTGACAGACCCTCGAATCTAAACGTTACACAGTGCAGCTTTAATGAACAATTTCAGTCTACAACACAACCGGACCCACAAAACCGTTCTGTTCACTCTTCATTGGTTTACATTGAAAAATAAAAATAAAAAATAAAAAAAACAACAAAAAAAACATGTAAATTAAATATCTTCCCCGGTGATAAGGCTTGATCCGTCTGTTATGTGAAGTCTCATAACTGCAGGAGAGGCCGTGGAGCAGCCCTGATTGTCGAGAAGAATCCTCCGTAAAGCTAAAGTCCCGAATGTGAGCGCCCCCTGCTGTCCCGCGGCCAAACGACAGCGCCCCCCGGAGTCTGCGTTTGTTGTCCCGCGTCCCGTCGGAAACCGCTGGACTCGGCTCGTGGCGGTCCCAGTCTTTTCCGTCGTGCTCAAAGTGGATCATTCAGCGACTTCACTGCGGAATTTTTTATATCTGCGTGAGTGAAAACGACACCAGCTGGAGTAGATTTGGTTCATTTCAGTTCTTTTTAGGTCTTATTTTGAGTTAATTGTCCATCAGTGGAATTCCATTTTTATTTTCATTTTTTTTGTCTGACTTTGTGTAATTTTCTTACTACAAAATGAAAATGATTTTGCTTGAAAAATTAAATAATGTGTTGTCAGAATGTGAAAGCTCTTTTGATTAAAACAATAAATAAAATGCAAATTTAAAAGAGCTTAAAATGTTTGAAATAAAACTGAAAATACAGAGTTAAAAAAGTTTGAAAAATTACTTCCAAAACAAGATAAATGCAGATAAAAGCGATTAATCCGTGTATCATTCGATCATTCGTATTTCAGTATAAAACCAAAAATAAGAAAACAAAAAACAACAGTTTTCTTCATTATTTGTCTCCAAAACCAAAATGAAAAAACAGATAATGATTTGTTTTTTCAGTTTTTGATTTTGTGTTTAAATGAAAAATGGAAAAGATGGATAAGACCGTTTCCCGTTTACATGACATCCGTGTCTGCGATGCCGGACTGAACCAGGACTGAACTGATCCAGGACTGAACAGGACTGAACCAGGACTGATCCAGGACTGATCCAGGACTGATCCAGGTCCGGACCAGACCGGGACCAGACCAGGACTGAGACCGAGACCGAGACCAGACCGGGACCAGACCGAGACTGAGACCAAGACCAGACCGGGACCAGACTGGAGACTCAGAGCCCACGGCAGGACCGGAGCTCGAAACTGAGGCTCGGACCCCGCGGAGGCTCAGAGTCAAAGCTCGGAGCCTGCTCTGGTCCCGCTCTGGTCCTGCTCTGGTCCCGCTCTGGTCCTGCTCTGGTCCCGCTCTGGTCCCGCTCTCAGTCTCGGTCTGGTCCCAGTTTCAGTTCTGATCTCAGTCTCGGTCTAGTCTCGGTCTGGTCCCGGACCTGGATCAGTCCTGGTTCAGTCCGGCATCGCAGTCATGGAAGTCACGTAAACGGAAAACGGTCGTTTTTTCCATTTTTCATTTAAACACAAAACCGAAAACTGAAAAAAAAAAAAAAGAATCATTATCTGTTTTTTCATTTTGGTTTTGGAGACAAATAATGAAGAAAACAGTTGTTTTCTCGTTTTCTTATTTTTGGTTTTATATTGAAAAACGAATAAACGAACGACACACGGATTACTGGTTGTTATATCAAATTATATTACCGTATTTTTTGGAGTATAAGTGGCCCTTTTTTTCATGGTTTGGGTGTTTCCGGTGCGACTTCTAGATTAAAATGTTCCAGTGAAGTGTGGAGGTTCTAGTCTTGTGTGTGAGTATCTGCTGCTCCTGTTCCTCCTGTACCACTGTCACTTGGCTCTACTGCATGTCTCCTGCAGAAAGAGCCTCTGTTCTGTCTGTATCATGTCAGTCGATCGCAACATTACTTAAAATTTAAACAAACAACAACTGACAAAAGACGACTGAGACTGAACACAAACGCCCCCAAAAACAAAATCAGATTCTGCAGATTACAAACTACAAGTCATGAAATCTGCAGCTGAAAACGAGAATCGAGCAGCAGAAAGAAAGTTTGGAGTGAGAGAGAAACTTGTGACACCGAGAGAAACTTTCCTGACGTCACTGGATGGATGGACAAAGTCTGGACTTCAGTGACACCGAAACCATCCTGTCGTGATTCAGAAAGTCCCGAATAATTCTACGCAGAAGAGGAATCGACTGGAATCTGTTTACCTCCGGAGGTCGAGGCCGAGTTGAGAGCGATTCAGAAGTGACACCGAGGATGAAGAACTGAATGGATTTAGTGATTTGGAGTGAGATGGAGAGTTTGTTGTTCTCTCTTCTATTGTTTTTACTAGAACTTGACTGAAAACAGGAAATGTCGGCTCCTGGTCTCTGATTTTATATTAAAAAAAGTGCGACTTATATATGTTTTTTTCTTCTTCATTATGCATTTTTTGTCTGGTGCGACTTATACTCCGAAAAATACGGTACATAAAGTGACATTTTTTTATCAAAAATTTTAAAAACTCATCAGGTAAATTCTCTCATTGTGCATTTTAAAGAAGCATTATGTAACTTTTCGAGTAAAGGATCCTCTACTTGTACTTATTGTTTTGCCTGTAATATTCCATAGTGGTGCATTAAACTAATCAGTTTCCAAGGAAATACACACGTGTCAGATCTGTGGAAAGGCGAGCCCAATCACAGAACGAATGCCTGTTTTTTCACGGTCGTCTCGATAGAAGACAAACGAAAAGCCATACTGTGGAACATTACAAGCAAAGGAACACCATCTCAGTTTGCAGAGCAGCGTTAAACTTCTAGATCTCCATGGAGACGAGAATGGGACAGGTCAGATCTATGGAAAGGCAAGCCCAATCACAGCAAGAATGCACGATTTTCGACGTTTTTGAGCTATAAAAATACTTGTTATGACATTACAGGCAAAAAAAATCCCATCTGAGTTTACCAGGGAATGTTCCACAGAGAAGCATTCAATTTATCTGCATAGAGATGAGAATTTGACAGGTCAGATCTGTGGAAAAGCAAGCCCAGTCACAGTAAGAATGCGCGATTTTTTATGTTTTTGAGCTATAAAAACAATTGTTATGGCATTATAGGGAACAAAAAAAAGAAAAAATCCCATCTGAGTTTACCAGGGAATGTTCCACAGAGCAGCATTAAACTTATCTGCATAGAGACGAGAATTGGACAGGTCAGATCTGTGGAAAGGCAAGCCCAATCACAGTAAGAATGCAGTTTTTTTTTTTTGGAATGAAATAAACGCGAAATAAAAGTTAAGAGTTAAGAAATAAATGAGACAAGTTTAAGCCTCATGACGCTACAGGCAAAGTGATAACATCTCCATGGAGACGCCAGAAAAGTTACATAATGCACCTTTAATGGTATAGACCCAATATTGAAAATTAAACCAAAACTACTCCGCGAAAAAGTCATTCTCCTGGGCGGTTTTCGCTGACGCAGACCCGTCTTTCGCAGCGCGGGGCCCTCAGATGCTCCGGTGTGCTGTGAGGTACTTGAGGGCCGCCGAGCCGTACTTCCGGGACAGGTCCTGGTGGAACTCGTCCTTCAGCGTGGAGAGGCAGTGTCTGTACCCGGGACTGGACCTGAACTTGGAGATGTCGAAGCTCGGGGCGTGGGGCATGTGGATCATAAAAGCGTTGGGCAGCACCATCATCTCGTACTCCTGCGAAAAGAGACACGACAGAGAGAAAAACTGAGTCAAAATGTTAAAGGACACGTGTTATTCGGCTTTAACTCTTCCAAATCTGAGGACATTTCTAGTACATTTGTCCTCGCCTGGATTTTTTTCTTCATTTTGCATTTAAAACTCCCCCTTTTAACCTCTAATGAAGTGTTATACATCATTTTTTTCAGTACAACCTGTTATTTCACAATCTGCTGCTGTAATAAAAGTTATAGGACCAGAAATACAAATAAAAAAGAAAAAACGAAAAATAAAATTCACACTCTTTCATACAAAACACACAGCAAACATGTATAAACAACTTTTTGGGCATAAAAAAAATGTTTAATTTAGAGCCTCAGCTACAAAACTGCAAAATATCAGGTCTGTAAATAAACTAAAAATATCCTTATTGCCTCAAAACAAAACAAAAAAGTGCAATGGCCTCATGACTTTCCTGGTGTCAGTCGTGGAAACAGCTGGTGTCAGGTCCAGGGCACTGAGACACATCACTTCTGCATTTCCATGGGGTTTATTACATTTGGATTTGGGCATCTGAATTGAAATAAACTGTTCAAATAAAAACACCAAGAGACAATTCACTCCTATAACTACTAGTCTCGCACTATTATGCAGCCAAAGATATGTCATTTTCCATTTATTTGAGAAATAACTTCACTTAGAGCGACTTTTTTCAATTGTTACAAACACAGACGCTCAGAGCATCGACTATTTTGACTCACTACACTCTTTGGCAAAGTTTGGGCCGAACAAAATGGACGGAGCGCATGAGTTTGACAGAAAACAAAATTCCTATTGGACACTAGTTTTCCCTACGTCATCACACAGCATGGCGTAGGATAATGCCGGAAATATGCTCGGAAAGCCGCAAAGGACTAGCCAGGCTGGTGCCACCTAGTGCCTCTGCTCAGTTTCATTTCTCTCCAGTAACTAGGCCAAGAATCAAAATACACTAGACGATTTGCAAGAACCCCGGAAGTGCGTGAGTTCAGGCACCAGCCAATCAGCGAAGAGTCAGACATTCTGTGTTGGCAACGATTCCAGAGATCGAGGATTTAAAGCCGAAACAAAGAGAATGTTTGGTGAATTTTATCAATGGGAAAGACTGTCCTTCTTCCTACGGGATTTGGGAAAAGCTGAATTTACCAGTTATCCCCGACCAAACAGCATCGATTGGTTAAATGATAAAAAGTACCTGCCTACTGTCGAGCGAACGAATCCTAATGCTGTGAGGTCAGACGGTTTGTACGAAGTGAAATGACATAAAACCGGCTGATGAATCAGTCTAGCAATGGGCAGCTTTTTAAGAAAAAAAAAAAAAGAAAGTTTCTATCTTTTATGCTTGGAAAGTTATGTGTGGTCTGGAAGCGTTAAAGGTCCTGACACAAAACTGACTCTCGTGAGCTTTAAGTCATGTTAGAATGTTAGAACAAAAACAGACCTGGAGTTGTGTTTTTTTTTCATTCACATGTTTGCGTAACACTTTATTATTAGTCTGTCTACATCTCCAAAGCTCATCGTAAATGGGCAAATTTTTATACAGCACTTTTCCATCTTCAAATACTTTACATCAAGGAACCACTCACCCATTCACACACACATTCACACACCAGTGTACACAGACACTGGTGGCAGGTCCATTTTTTGGTAGATGGTAAATGAACACTGTGTAAAGTCCTACAATTCAACCTCACAGCACCAAGAATTCATGTGAAATTATATTTTATCCGTATTGTGCCTTTAAGTGCAACGAACAATAAGACTTCACTGAAAATAAATGAAAAATAAACACATAAATGCATACATACATACGTAAAACGGCAAATGAGAATACGTCGGACAATTCATGACAGAATTATGGCCAAAAAAACGATTCTGCCCGAAAGTTAACGGGGTCATCTGGGAGTCATTGTCCATCTTTCCTGAAAATTTCATACAAATCTGATCAGTAGTTTTCGCGTAATATTGCTGAGAGACAGGAGCTAAAGTAGGCGGGGTCAAATGTTGAGCCACTCCTCGATCTACGGCTTCAGCTCGAGGTTACGCTGATTTACGGACAAAAAAATCTAAACAACATCACCAGGCTACATGTAGAGCGGGTTGATATGAACATTTTCAGACAAAAATGATGAGGCTCACTGCAGCAGTTACAGAGAGAGGAGTGATGGTTTTTCAATACAAACTGAACTGGAGACAGATTTGATGGAGACAGAAGCGCACCCATGCTCACTTCCTGTTTTAGCTATGTCCATTTATATGTACAGTCTGTAGTTGAACCCAAAACTTTCTTTCTGTGAGGCGAGACAAGAACCAAAGAGCCACAGCGATGAATCTGAACACCAACTCTATTTTCCCCTCGTTTTATTCTCTCTTTTTATTCTGCGCCGCGGTTCTTCTCTCCGTTTGACAGTCTCGCCTCTTCGCCATAATGTGATCTGATTGGTGGGGCCGTATTTCCTTTTACGGGCGTGTTCCTCTCGCGCAGATGGCAGGCGGAGGTGTCATCTCAGGTCCTGGAGCAGCTCTCGTCTTTGTAAAGTCGTGAACACACACGCTCAGTCTGGAGTCATTTAGAGGTCTTACATTACGCTAAACTTACTCTTGTGGGCTTTAATAAACGTTATAATGCTGCTTCTGAACGTCTGAATGTCTGGTGATGTAATCTGAAAGCATGTGACAGGTCAGATCTGTGGAGAGGCATGCCCACCATAGATTATATATATAGATGACCAACTGAAGCGATGTGCTTTTACAATACTAATACAAAGATGTTATGAAATAAAACCATGTCCTGTCTCCCTGATTTTCAGTGTTTGTGACTGACAAGTGGATTAACCAATCAGAGAAAGCCCTGGTCTGTTTGGCTACGTTCACACTGCAGGACTTAACGCTCAATTCCGATTTTTTGTGAAATCCGATGTTTTTGCGAGTTCGTTCACATTTCCATTTAAATGTGACTTGTATGTGACTCCAGTGTGAAAGTTAAACGGCCCAAAAGTGTCCCACATGTGACACTGGAGACACGACGACGTCAACCGCAGCGAGCGTCTCTGTGTTTACAGAAGTTGTCCAAACATGGACGCAGCATCGAGCACCTGGAGATTTTAAAGTTCCTCTCGTACCGGAACCAGAACATGAACAACTTACTTGTTTTAAGGAGGAGATTGAGAAGGAGAAGGACGAGGTTTTTGGTCGTGGTGTTTTGTGGTTCAGTCCGTTGAAAGGAACGTGTGGATGTGGAGACGGAGCCAAGAGTGGTGAGTGGTGATGTGCTTCACTTCAGTGACACTGAGTTCATTAACAATTTTCACCTGCTTCAGTGCAGAATAGTGACGTTTGTGTCTTGTTGATAACGTGTAGGTGGATGAATGCACTTTGGCCGTTCAGACTGAAGTCACATGTCAAAAGATCAGATATGTATCAGTTTCAGGAGCACATATCCAAGTGTCCTGGGTCACATTTGAAAACATCAGATCTGTGTCATTCAGACTGACATTAAAAGATCAGATACAGGAACATAGGGGCCAAAAATTTGGACTGATTTGGACCAAACGGATTTGGGTCACTTCAGGCTGCAGACTGAACGTAGCCTTAGAGTCAAAACAAACAAACTTTGTCTTAAGAGTAAGACAAAGAACTTCAGCTGAATCCAAGATGGCGTAATAATTTTCTCTTCTGCATTTACTTCATCGATAAGGGCGAACTCCTCCCACCCGTGTAGGTTACAGACTCAAGCCCCGCCCATTCAAGTCAATGGGCCGAGGTCAATGGTCCATGACTCCAGACTAGCAGTTAGCCCAGCAAGGTTCCTCTGGTGGCTCTGGGCCGATTGAGCATGAGCACTAGTCTCTTTTCTCATGTGGGCACACGCCATTGCACACAAGCGCACACACGGAGCACGGTCTCATGTATCATATGATCGCTTTGACCAATCAGAGCGAGAGGAGCAGAGCCGGAGCAAGAAGGAGGCTTACTTAGCAACAAAACGCACTAGTTGTCAATTAAACCTGTTCCTAATGTTAGAGGGAGCGACCTCGGGGAATGAAGGCGTCTGATTGGTCCGTTAGTTATGTTCAGATCTTGATTTAGGAACAAAATAGTGAAATGAAAAATTCAGGATCATGTGACGTGAACATTTAAGACCAAAATGTCGAGGCTCACAGCAGCGGATACAGAGAGAGGAGCCACAAGATCCTAATGTAAGTCACTGGAGCCAGAGTCAGAAGAAGCAGGAAGAGCCTCCTGGAGCACTTCCTGTTAGGAACACAGTGACTAGAGGCATTAGTTCTGTCCATTTACACATACTGTCTATGGTTCAGGCTCACAGCGGGGCGAGGACAGTTCTTAAGTCGTGTTCACACCAAACGTGAATGGTGCGAACAGTTTACATGTTAACCCGATGTAAAGGTGCGTTAAAAAGTTCTGCGGTGCGAATAATGCGAGTTGGGCGGCGTGATTTGCATTTTTTGAGAGGCGCAAACAGGCGAAATGAGCGGCGTGAATTTGCGAGGCTCTGGGTCGAAGCACGGAACTCTGTCTGGTCCCGGTCTTAGTCCCGGTCTCAGTCCTGGTCTGGTCTGGGTCTGGTCCAGGTCTTAGTCCCGGTCTCAGTCCCAATCTCGGTGCCGGTCTGGTCCCGGTCTGGTCAGTCCAAATCTGCCATTTTTCCAAATGAAAACAGATGAATGAAAACAGATGCAGAGGACACGTCACAGCCGCAGTTGATCCTTCTGAAGTGAATAGAGCGAATTTACTCGCGTGACCAAATTCCCAAACTCGAACGACCTGGACGCGCCAATGATGCGAATGACTCAAATAAGTCAAGCAGCAAACCAGGGGCGTTTGACGAGATTTATTCGCGCCATTTGAGTTTGGTCTGAACAGGGCTTTACAAAGCTAAATTTTAGGGAGGATTTAAACATTTTTTTAAAGTTTATGTTGTGAAAATAGAAAAGAATCCTACAAAATCTGACATTTGT